TCAGTTGGAGCGTACACGGAGATCACGAACAAGTTGAGTTTCTCTTCGTGGTGATTGTTGATTATATATGAACCCCGAAGCCGAACTGCACATAGTCGGCTGTTAATCGGGAACCAGTCCAGTAGTGCCGCCTCGGCCTTGCCACTCAGTGCTATACCTGCACCAGCCAAACTCGCTGAGGCTGCTTCTGGATGGTCAGAAGGACGCAGGTGATATCTGGCTTCGTGGTTAGTGGGGGATGTCAATGTAAGCACATTGCTGGAATCTTGCAATCGGGTTTCTGAAAGGCAGCAGACATCAACGTCTATGGAATATAGGGTGCGCGCTAGACCAGCTTGCTGTCCAATCTGCATGAGTGTCCGAACGTTGAAGAACGCCAGACGGAACGAGGATCGGGGACGAAGGAGAGCCATAGGTTGAACTCTTTGGTCCGCGGCGTAACTGGAATCGCTGCCAGATTGTTGAACACATGAATCGGGTAACAGAAAGTGAGGATTGTTAGTAAACAAACGATTGGCGTGTGACGAAGTCGGGTGAAAGCAGGAAGCAGAAACAGTAGCTGATGAGCATGATGTAATACGGTCCATGGTTTTGTGAGAGGGCGTGATACTACCCGGTTGCCTAAGCCAAAGTAGGGAGTTGACTTAGGGGACTCCACCCCGAGCCTTTGGCCAAATAACCTACCCGCAAGGTAGCGGGGCGAATTTAGGGAATCGCGCCCATTGGGAGGCGTTGACTGAATGTTCAGTTCATGCGTCTTTGTTTGGTAGATTACCAAACAGGGGCCCAATACTCCCCATGAAGTCAGCACACCTGCTGAAATACAATGCCCCACCGAGGTGGAACATTGTCGCCGAACACTTTGCTGGAACGGGGTACACCCGAACCACCCAGCTGACACATGAGAGTTTTTTCCAGATAGGCTAAACGCTCCGTTCTACACTAGCGCGCTTGAAAGATTCACTTCGAGCAGATAGGAGAACCAATTGCATCTACAACACTATTTGCGAAGACTGCGCACACGTGTACATCGGCTAAACCACGAGATAGCTACGCACAAGGAGATCAGAACACAAAGGACGCACAAGAAGAGCAGAACACGAAAGACGCATAACACGGCCACTGAGAAACGAGCTTGAACATAGGTCTCTACTAAGGAGCTTGACAATAGCGATGCGCTTGACAGATACATGACATGGGATCGACTTTGGTAACGTCAAAATCGTTAGCAAGGGGTTGCGATCAACTTCTCAAAGACTGACTCCTGAGACGGTTGAGATAAGCAAAGTGAATTGCTGCGTGAACAGAATGGACTAGGCAGAGGTTTCGAGCGTGTGGAGGGCCGTGTTAACCCGACCAGTCTGAGGAACGCCGGCGGACGGATCCAGGGCGCAGAATGGACATTACGTCATCCCCGCACCCATCGTTAACTGGGTTTACGTTCATGACCTTGTACGGCGGACCACTTGTTACCGTTCCACAAAGTACTTGGGGTGATGCGTTAAGCTGTAACGCGATTGACCTTCTGCCTACATCCCATTCGTCGAGATTATCTTCCCTGTTCTCTATAAGTGCAATACCAATCCTCCAATGGTTCACTCGGCCTGACGAAGCTTTTGTGTCATAAGCGAAACGTTGCCCACAAACTATACCATCCGGTTGTTTTCAAAACGTTCTGAAATCATGAGTGCTCGATCGGTTTCAATTATTTGCCAAGATGTTCAGCATTGTACTTCGTCCATGATTTGTCAGTGGGCGTGGTACCGCTTGGTTGCCCAAACCTATGTGGGGGTTTCACTTAGGAGTCCATACTCCGAGCTTTTGTTCAATGATCCAACCTACAAGGCAGCAGGGTGATAAAAGGGCGTTGCAACCCACTGGTCGCCGGTGACCAAACAAGTCGTTCATACGCCTTTAGGATTGCTCAGGACCAAAGGCCCAACACACCCTTGAATTATAATGCCACTCATAATGGGGTAAGGGGCTATGACTTTACTTAACGGCAAGTCAATCCGCCACACCACAGTGTTGTTACGCTGATATATGTGACATTGTATAGGGAAGAAGCTTGCCCAGGCGAAAGCCTACCACGCGCTACAACAATGCCACCGAATCATTCGCTGGAACGGGATAATCCCGAACCACACCGGTGGCACCACCAGGAGATTGTTCGGTCAACGGTGGCCACAAGAAGTCAAGCGAAGACATTACACGCTCCAGATGCCAGTAAACATTCCGTAGGATAAATACAAGTTGTTAAAATATGCGCCGCGATGTATTCCACCAAAGACATCTGGTGTCTAACATCTGTTCACAGAGTGACGATTTCTAACGGACTGTGTATCAGCTCTCAATAGTGCTTAGCGGTAGCCGTGTGATTCAAGAGAATACTTACAATGCAAATTTCGCCGGTTTGAGCTTGTTTATGTCAGGGCGATCTTGCAGTATCCCTACCTCTCATGTCACGTGCCAAAACAGTGGTTTTAACAGCCGAGGGTGTGCTGCTGCTGCTTACTTTAGATGGTACGCACTAGTGTTAAAGCGTTTCAAATCGGAGTGAGCGCTTGAACAGTTACGAACTCAAAGTTGCAGTACGTAGGTCATTAAAAGTAAGATTGCAATGTGATTCGGTGCAGTTACTTTGACCCTCACACGTAGTCTCACTTTGGTGGGAAGTAGATGTTATATAGTACAAGTAGGATAAGGAATCCAGGTTTTCCTTCTATGCAAATAGTCTAGCTTCAAATTAGAAAGTCTCCCTATCATAGAACTTATATTAACAAATGCCACATAGCCGTGACACGCTCCATTGTTATCTTCGTCTCTAAGTAACACATGGACAAACTTGTGCGTCTGCAGGATCCCTGATGTAAACTGATGTCATCTGGAATAGCCCACCTAAAATGAGTGATATTACATGCAGCAGTTAAAAACTGTGCGTAGCTGTGCTTACCATCCACTTTTGCCTTCTGGCACCCACTTCTATCAGTGGACGGTACTCACTGTGGTCCACCGAACCAAAAAGTTCTTTTGCGCTTACGTTAGTGAATTACATTTTTCATCATACTCCAGCAAAGACCCGTTTTATCTATCTCATTGTGATAAAAAATGCAGTTAGTAACGAGCCATTCGTAATGGAATAGACCGCTCCTGAGCCCCAAGGCAAGCAGATTCTTTGTTAGAACCTAGACCAGTGGTTCCGAGCCGTGCCACATATGTTCGTTGCTGAATTTTAATGTGAAATCGCCTGAGTAAAATGGTAGCCTAGTTATGCACCGATTGTAGAGCCAAACATGACCGGCCTACTTTCCAGTGTTTTCCCGAGTTATCAATTTACGGAAAGGCCGATTTAGCAGGTTTCTTTAAAAATAGCAATAGACTTAAGCATGCCTAATAATTACTTCGCCTTGTTCTTAGGAGAGTTTTGCAAAGCAATTTTTCCTAATTCTTCAAAAATGAAACCTCGAGCTTTTAGACCCATCTCAAGGAATTGAACCTACCAAAGTGTACTTTCCGTAGTCCGCTCTGCGATATGCGCTTCAGAAGCGAATCAGTATTGCACAACTTCCGACATAATCCTGCGCAGCTTGTAACATTGTCATATTCATCGCTACAATAGTTTTATCCGCCCGCTTATGGAGCGAACGTTTAACCCAATTTGATGGGGAAAATGTGGTATTTATTGGCTGCACTGAATTCATTGATAATTACGCCTTCTCGGTACATTAACGCCTGTGTGATCTCCTCTGACCTAGTTCTAAATGATTGACTTCTTTTTTGTATGAAACATCGGGTATCAGTTAGTAAGTGTTCAAATAGCATGAGATGCATCCCACTTCGGTAATTGTCCTCTTGCTATCTCGTTCATACCTATACAGTGAACTTTAACACAATCGCATTGACTTTGGACTGACAGAGTGAGTGCGAACAGAAAGCTTCAATTCGTACTTATGTTGTGCTGGTGGTCACGTTTGTTATCGATCAATGTGAACGTAGTCAACTTGTGTTCGAAGTAAACCGCTGCCATAAATAGGTTGTTTAAGAGGGCACTTAAGTGCTGTGCTTGACCTCAGCTCTTAACGGCATCCAGACTGCTAGGTCTGGTTTGTCCTGGCATCTAAACGCCGTAGTCATCTTGGCTGTTGTAGCATACAATATTTATCTATTGACTATAGCATGCCATCAACACTTAAGAAGTGTAATTTGTAGGTCATTCGACAAGCCGTTTTGTCATGCAACTACACAATTAATTAAACCTGAGCAACGGCAGTTATACGCTTAGCAGCGTCCGTCGTTTTCTTATTTCCTTTCTGACGGTTGCATGCTCACATAGTGGTTATTGATGTAACAGTGCTAACAACTGTAGCCTTCATGGTTTAACAATGTTCTTTGTTGCTAAAGTGTTGACGGGAATTGGCAAGAAACAACCGAGAGTTTCAGGGCAGCTGTCTATCTCAAAACTGTACTCCACAACCGACCGGTTTCACCCTGAGTTGAAATCTCCAACTGGAGATAGCCTGAGCTGAGAGTGAAACCTGACCAACGCAGTCGCAAAACCACTTCTTAACTACCCATTTATTCCACTTGTATTATTCCTGTGCGGTTCATTCTATTGATAAAGCTTAACGTTCCGGCTGTTCAGTTCGTCTTTCTGTAGGCGAGTGGGTTGCCGTGTAACACGTTGCGTTCTCTGTTGACGAATGAGTGAACGACTTGTAGAACCCATGGCCCGTAAGAACACAAGTGACTCGATCGACGGCACATGGGTACGATCCGCCGCTTACATCTCTAAACAGTATTCCGTGAAAATTGCAACACTTGCAAGGATATGGCTAGTCAGGCACATATTTTGAAAAAACTGTATATGTGCTGTACCTCACGCCCTAAGTTAGACTATTCCAAATGTTTGTACCGCGGCTTTAGTTCGAAAATTGAGTTTCTTTCGGTGATCCTATCAACCTACCGCAGTGACATTGCCATCTGTCCGTTTCTCACGTTAGAATCGCGCTCAGACCTTTCTGAAGGCTATTTACGTCAAAGAACTGGATGCCGTGGTCGCTGCTTGTGTGGATGGTGTAGTGTGTGAGTTCCTTTCCATGTGGTAACATGAATGCAGTTGTTTTTTCTCAGTGATTTTATGTACTGAGTGTTATCATAAGGATCACAGCAGTACACATGGTAGGGATGCTTCTTTCGTCACTCAAGGCAATCCGATTTGTCATTGAGTATACAAAGTAGGAAATTCCATTTATAGTTCCAATCTGAAAAATCACTAGACGTATATAGTGTGATGACTCAGTTGTTTCGTGAAAGCTTGTCGTCAGTCACAAATCACATAAAAATCACACACATGCAAACCGCGGTCATATGCGATCACTAGCTAGTCAATTGTGGGTCAATCGTCACTTGAATAGAATTGCTTAAACAACGTTACATTGTCTTCTGTAGCGTTGAAATGTTTGGGGAACCAGTAATCTGTAGAATGTCCCTAGAATATTTGGGGTAGAGTAGACGTTCATTTGTATGTAATCAAACGACAAGCAGTGGGAAAGCAAGTACATTATGCAAATCGAGGCTTCCGTAGAGGTTTTGTCGTTTGTCTCAACCGGTAAAGTCCGAATGAAAACTGGTTAAGATGCGGAAACAGAATTCAACTGCCTTCATCACTGTCTGAATCACCGCCACCAACATCAACGACAACATCCGAGCATTAGTATCATTAAAAACATGTGGCTTGAGGAATATATCTCTAGAGAGTAAAAGTTAATTGACTATATTCATGTTACCGGAGACCACTTGGAGCATTAAATCCTAAAATGATATTGCACTGTGACAAAAAGTCGCAAAATATTATAACCAAATGGACTACAGATTTCCAACGAGATGTTTCACACCATAGGTCAAGTACATGGAAGATATGCTTTGTACACTCAAGTGGGAGCAAGTTAGACAACTTACGTTAACAATGCGGACACAAAACTACCTAGCAAAATTGAAAAAAAATATAAGTAGCAATGGGAACAAGTTTGGGTGTATTTGTTTGCGCAAATTGACTCACAACTGGTGCATGCTTGCCTTTGGGTCGAGTAACAGGTGTGATAGATTGGATAAGCTGGAGTTGCGATGCGACAAGCTAAAATGAAAGTTGGGTTTTCATTCCCGTGGAAGTATTACATACCCTACTGGTGTAAGGGGTGAGAGAAACCGTTTAAAATGCTTCATGAATAGTTGGAATAGGCGTTATTAAGCTCACTGAGGATAAAACCAATTAGGTACAATTTCCTTAACCTAGAGCATTGAAAAATAAAGTTTAGTGGTCGATCAAGGATGGTAAAATTCTTTTGGAGTGGCCCGGGTATAATAACAGTGGGACGGGACACATTCACTTCCAAGATTTCAAATGAGAGCACGAGTTCCGGAAGTCTGTACGGGCTTGAGAGTGCAAACTGACCGTTTTCCAATTCATTGAAAGATTTCATGAAAATGTTTTGACCAATTGGTGCGGACCCGTCAAATATCCCCGCAAAAGCGCGCCAGAAACTCCGGCATAATGGCTGTGGAAAGTGGGGTCCAATTCCTCCCCACAACGCAGCAGTGTGCAGCCACTCCGAGACGCAGCCCAACTGCACACCACTTGACAACAGTCTTTTGCAAACTACCACCTCGTCATGGTAGCTATTTTCCCTAACTTAATGACCAACAGCATTGGCTGTGATTTGCCCTTTGTTGGTCGTAAAATAGCCCTCAGAGGACCACTTGCCTTTCTTCCTCTTCGCCTCAGTTGGGAGTAAGTCGGGTCACGTGATTTTGTGTGCGTCGTTAGCCTGGCAGCGTTCGCGTCTAAGTCGCTAGTGCGCGTCTACCATAACCCCGTCTCGTGCGTGTCCGTTCCGAGGGCTCAGCGTCTACCCGAATACGTGTGGCTAGGATCGTTCTTACGCTCGCTCGATTTCCGTCTCACCAGCTCGTACCCCGGGCTAAGCTAGCGCCATCAGGTCAGCGCAAATCCGTTCGATTGGCCAGGGTTCTAAGCAGTTACCGTAGGCGTGCTCCAACCGTGCCAGTGAAAATCTTATCAAGCATCTACGGAATCTTAACAAAGGCGTTCCCTCAATTACAACACCAAGATAAATTGTTGAACAAGCACAAGTGATTTTTTGGCTATTCAGAGCAGATAAAATAGATCAAAACACTTGGAATGGTTAAGGGAAATGTACCTGAATCTTGGTCAAATCAGGAGTTCGTCTAGTGCGCTCTTTGGGATATTGGAAACTACTCCGTTACGGGAAGCATGCACCCTAGAACGACGTTAGCAGTTCATTTGTATCAGATGAAAATGAATCCAACGCGTAAAAACATTTAACAGAAGAAAAGTGACTAGAACATCAATTAGCTTCTTAAGAAATACCACAATTTCCTGGGGTGTAGTAGACCTATCACCTAAGGGAACAATGGAACAACGGTAAAAATGTTACAGCTTAACAGGTCCCATAGGATGGTCTTGATGAAAAGATAAAAAATATGGAAACATTGTCACTTACTGTGGTATACGTAGTCAAAGTACATGTAAATCCACTGAAAGTCCATAAGGAATGAAGACAAAGAGACGTTAGTGAACATTGTTCCTCCACTTGGTGATCACATACAAAATGTGATAAAGGTTTAACCTATTCTGTTAGTTGACCGGCAGTGAAATCTCTAACAGACACTCGTGTTTATGCATGGGCAACAAGTCATATCAGATGGTGCATTGAAATTAGGGTACAGTCAACTCTGGCTTTGAACTCAGCCAGCGTGGGAGCGCCAATGGCAGGTTCGGGTAAGCCATTCCACGTTTTGCAAACGTGTAGCGAAAAGAAATTCCGACGGCATTCCAGACAACTGTGCTGTTCTGCCAACTTGAGATGGCGACCTCTCAGATTGCTGATGTGACTGAGCACTAGCAATCGGCGGCACGCATGGTTGGGGTCTCTCAAAATCATCTGGTACGGTCAAAATGACCTCCCCACACAATCGCCGATATTGTCCGCTGAAGACCGCGAACACTCGAAGTCTTTGTTTATACGGTAAATTATACAAGCCCTTGACACTCATGGCTGTCCGGCGTTGGGATATCCCCAAAGCGGTGAGATCTCTCCTCAGCCATGGCTGCTAGACCTGTAATGCGTATTTCGCACGTGGCCGTATGTATGAGCGGAGAAGCTGGGGAAAATATCACTCGAATCGCCTAACTGCAGGCCTCAGAAGATCCACATGTTGGATGCCCCTCCGTGGCGCCGCTTTGGTCTAATTCAAACATTCAAGGTCGACGTGGACCAAACCGCTTGGATACCTTTTGCCATACGACGTTTGAAGCTCTTGGTTACCGAGTTTGTAGGAGCCCACCATCTGGTTCCATAAATGCGGCACTCAAAATTTGTCCAACTTGTATGGCGATTGATACTGGATTGAACGCTATCATATCGTATCCAGTTTGTCTTGAACTACTGTGATTTCTTCTGGTGCAATGATTGTCCTCCATACCTTAGTTTCCTCAGCATAACACAGTCAATTCGAGCGTATTAGGTATGTGACATCGTCGCTCTACTTCAGACAAACCGCGGTGCCAGTACCCATCCCTGCGTTACTCCGCATTCAAATGGGATGGGATCTGATAGAGATTTGCGCACCCGTACCTCCAAGTACCGTTATAGGAGGAGGCTTCTGATCCACACTGGCATCGAACCACCAGTAGCAAATGTCTGGCGATTGGAGAGCATAGTGTCATACTTTAACCGGTCTAAGGCATTTGAGAAGTCGTCGAAAACTATATCGGCTCCTGTGCCAGTGTCTACTTTTCTGTCAAGTTGGATGGTGTTAGTATTAAATTGCTTGTGCGCGACCAAATTTGTCGGAAGCAACGCATTTAAATACGTCCAAGTGCGCCGTTAGCGCTTCAGAAATAATAGGTTACATGACTGTCCGCGGAAGAAAGTAAGATTGGCCTAGAAAATCCACTATTTTAGCAAGTAACCTATTATTAACGATTATCGCATCAATTTCGAACGTTCTGGAATGTTCTATGTTCTGTACGTGACTAAAAACCACCTGACAACTCGGCAATAGCTATGTGGAACTACTAACCCTGCTAGCTAACCTTCAAATTCTAGAAGTCGAAGGTCAATAAGCGACCTATAGATACACCCAAGGTACGCGGTAGTTGTACAGTGTATGTTGACGGCGATTAATACGTCATTTTGTCCAGGTTGTGGTCGCACTGCTTTTTCCTTCGGTTGAGATAGAAGTTTTGTGGAGCAGTAAAGTGTCAATTTCGGAATCTCATCTGGTGAGAAGATTATAACAATGACCATTGTAGGTACCGGCATACTTAACAATGAATAATGAACAATGATTTATAATGAGATAAAAACAATTTAATAATGGGGTCCCGTAGGTTGGTTGGGGTGAATACGATGAAATCAACATATATTTGTGTCCTCTACCGAATGTCTTCAGAGGTGAATGCATTGATAAATAATGTCAGTGTAAAATACAATTGAATGTACTCGTGCAGACATACACTGGGTGCAGTGGTCGGTTATATAAGGCTTGCGAAAAGTAACATATATTCGCTCACTTATGCGACGCCTTCTTGGGTCCATATGATACTTAAATCATGTAGAGAGGCATGATTAGCGTAATCCGCAATAGACTAGTTTATGTAACAAAATGTTAGGAGCTAAGAGCAACATCTAATCGTTTTCTGATAATGTCCGCACTAGGGGTGGATACAACTGAGTCTGGGAGTGCCTTCCATGGTTGGTCAACCCGATGGGGAAAGTAATTACGTCGACACTCTAGATGGCTATATTGGTCTCTCATTTTCAAGCCGTTACCTCTGAGCTGCGTGTTGCAGCTGTTTCAGCAAATAACGGTATACGTGGTTGGGGTCACTCAATATCTGATATGCTACTCGGAGATCGCCGCGCAGCCTTCGATAGCGTCCGCTGAAAATTCCGAGCAACCTCAGCCTTCGGTGGTAAGAGTGATAGTGCAGGCCCTATGCACTCTTTGTTTCTCTTCCTTGTGGTGCGTCTAATGCC